CTGAGGGTTGCGATCCATTGCCGGACACGGAAAAAGACAAAAAGGAAAAAAAAAAAAATTAAAAAGCAGCTGTTGATAAAGTTTGGAAAACACCCATGTACTTATTAGATCTTTAGGATTCAGCTTGGGAGGGAGGGATAGAACGGAGGACATACAACACATGATGTGATGGCCAAGCAGATAGGGCTTTTTCCTGTCAATCAAAACAACTCAGTTCTACTTCTGTTTTATATACCAGGATTCTACATAAGAGTTTGAGGGAAAAAAGAGCTCTATTGCTAAAAAAGAGAAAACAGCAAATCAAACAGCATCCCATCTTACATTTTAAAATCTTTTCGCAAGGTAATGCAATTTCCCCATTTATTTCTACTTCAGGACACATATTAGCAAATGGCCACAGTCATTCATTCAATATACACTGGATGAGTATCAGATGTAAGTGCTATACTGGGTACTATGAGGACAATGTCCAGCATTTAAAGTCATCTGAGATCAAAATCACCTGGCATATATTTTTGGGCAGCTGGCCAGTATGGGGATCCGCACCCTTGACCTTGGTGTTATAACAAAATCAGAAATCAGAAAAAGAATTGAAGAGCAAATNCTGTTATCCATTGGCCAGATAACGCATCTGCTGCCCCTGCTCCTAGATGGTGCAGTCTCTCCATTCACTGGACTCTCACAGCACTTTGTTCAGATCTTTAGTGAGGCTCTAACTGTGCTGTATTTTAACTATTATGTTTACATTTCTTCTCTCCTTCCTCACCTCTTGAAGGCAAGAGCCACATTTTACTTTTCTTTGTATTCCCAGTAACAAGGCATTGACTGGCATATAGAGAGGGAAAGAGGCAGCAAAGAAGGGAAGGAGGAAGACAACTCAAGTTTTAAAAAGGTCTCCAAGGAGTTAAACTGTATTAGAATAGTAAAACAAAGTGGTTCTCAAACTTTCTCACTGAAGTAAACCATCTCTGTCAACTTACCACTATCAAAATTAAACTTCACCTGAATTAACAGAACTGTTTTCAAGGCAATATCAAAAGAAAGGATTTATGTAACATTGTAAGTAACTGACTAATTCATATCGAAAAATGAAGTACAGTCATTGTCACATTATTGCATGCACTTTGCACACAGTTACTCTAACTCTTGTATTAGATTTCTGCTGATTAGTACAAAAATGATAGCTTTCTAAGGAGTGATAGGAAGAGGACGGTCCTGGGATATTCTTCCCTCAAGGAGGATGACATTTCCTAAGGTTCTCTTTTCTCTCCCACCCAATAACAGCAACATTAAATTCTATAATGCAAAAGCATAGAAAAGAGTGAGTACATTCATTGCTAAGCTACACGAGCTACAGGAAGGAATACCAGGACAAGAACACCACTGGACTAAGGCATTACTCTGCAACCACTTAACTGTGTGACCAGGGAAGGCCACTGGATTGTTCAGGGCCTCCATTTTCTCATATATAAAGTAACTGTTGATAAAAGAAGAAGAAAAACAAAACAAAACAAAAAAACACGCACACAAAAATTAAAATAAATTAAAAAATTAAAAAGCAGGGGCCGGCCCAGTGGCGCACTGCTATAGTGCGCCGCTTGGGAGCGTGGTGGCGCTCCC